TTTTTTTTTTTTTTTTTTTACAAATTTACTTCGTTCTAGTTTACTAAACACCTTGTTAGTTCTAGTAACTATAGATTTACAAAGGTCCCAGTTTGTCGTTTGGAAGTATAGGTAATTAAACTCGTAGGAACAATGCTAAATGCAAATGATTTCCTAAATGATTTTCATATTGCTTAAGTTATCTAAGTATGGCTCTACCTGTTGTTTAACAGAAAGAGAAGAGAGACACACAGATGACAGAGAAAGCCATTTTTTGCAAATTAGTCAATCAACTCAGCATAGTCTCTTAGGTAAGAACAGCAGAGAGTATTCCCATTGTACAGATGAGGAAATTATATATCTTTGAGAGAGTTAGGTGGTTTGCCTGACCTTATTATGGCTACTTATAGTGGACCCTGGCTGACACTCAGAACTTATGGCCTCAGATGAGCAATTTTTACTGCATACTTCTGCCTAATACTGTCCCCTCCCAGGACCCTTCTGCTATGCTGAAGAGATTCCTAATGAAGCCCCATGTAGTGGGTAGCCCAGTACCACAGTAAAAAAGTATGGGGAGGAGAGAAATTTTGGGGAGGCTCCTGTCCTGCCTTTCTTGCAAATTGGTCACAACATTTCTGCCTTTTGGGGGAAGCAGAGCTCTGCAAGCTGTGAAAAAGTGTGTTGTGTGAAGAGTACCTAAGTGATCAAGCTGACTGCCCTTTTGATGCATTAATGGCAAGGGACCACATAATATTTCGACCAAATCAGAATATGTTTGAAAGTTAAAAGGGGGCATAAAAATAATGAAATTGCTCATTTAAAGTATTTATGGGATTAAAAAGTATTAGTGGACCTATAAGATAGTTTCTACTCAATCTATTTTCAAAAGATAATTTATATCCTTATAAGTTAACAATTTTGTGTTAATTTGTGGTTTTTAACACATGCTGGTATATATTGATTTGAATCAGTTTCTTTAGCTGTATCTTCTTTTAATACTTCAATACTGATATTTTTGAAGTTATTGATACGATCTTATGCTTAATTTAAAAATTCCCTGGAATTTTCTTAAAAATTGCAATTTAACTGTTTTGTTTAACAGTAGTAATAGTTTTTAAAATACTTTCTCTAAAGAAACTAAAGCATTTAGTAAACTCAGAGTGAACTGCCAAATGGAACATCCCAATTTTAGGTTTTGTTGTTGAAATGTCAAGGCATTTCAGCTGCATATTCTTAGGTGCTATCTTTGTGTTTTTCTGTATGTCCTTCTTTGAAAGATACTTAAGATAAAAGCTACCAAGTAAGTTATCCCATTTATGGGATTTTTCAAATAAGCTACCACATTTAGACATAGTAAAAGTGTATTTCCTCAACTGTATTCCATGATGTTATGAAATTAAATTCAATCAGGTGGAACATTTAAAATTGGAATTATGGTAGCCTCTTCTTTCCATTGTTTTAGTTTCACTTTCTGTGTTTTCAGTTATTTGAAAATTTTCTACATGGAAAGCTCAAAGATAAGCGATCTATAACTTTGTCATTGTTTGCTATTCTGAGACACGTGATGTAATTGTGGACTAACCTGCTTCATCCCACTGAGGATGGCAACTATCCCTTTGTCTGGGGTGTTCAGGCTGCCCACCTGTTAACTGCTTAGCAGCTGTTTCATTTACAGGATCCATTGTAGTATTGCAGCAGTTGTGTCCAACTAATTCTGTAACTTTCGTGATTTCAAAATATTCTAGGGCTCGTAGAACACATCCCTCACAGATAAGGCAGAAACTACTAACAATGCTGTAAGCAAAGTGCCGGGAGTGAAGTGGCTTAGGACAATGAATGTCTGTTTTCACCTATCTGGAAGCTAGAAGTTTGAAATGAAGTTGTCTGCAGGGCTGTGCTCTCTTGTAT